TGTGTGTGTGTGTGTGTGTAAGAGAGAGAGAGACAGAGAGAGAATAAACAGAATGACTGATTAGGGATGTAGCTCGGTGGTAGAGCCTTGTTTGGCAAGCACAAGGCACTGGGCTTGCTCTTTCAAACTGAGAAAAAAAGGAAAAGAAACAGAAACTGGTAGTGCATACTCATAATTCTAACACTCAGGAGGCTGAGGCAGTAGGATTACTGTCCAGTCTGAGACCAGCCTGGTCTACAGAGTGACTGCCGGGCTGGTACGCGCACGGTGAGGGGTGGGGATTAGGGTGGGCTTAGGTTAGTAGGATGGAGAACTGATTCCACTCAGTTATCTTCTGACCTCCACACATATGCTGTAGTATGTGTGCCTTCTCCCATCATGTGTTCACAGTAATAATACTTTTTTTAATTAAAAAAAAAATGAACTGCACAATTTTAAAATGTCAGTATGAATTGGGTGAGATAGCTGTGCCCCTGAAATCTCAGTCCTACAGACATTGAAACAGGGCTGCAAGTTCAAGGCTGCCCGGGCTACACAGCAACAACCTGTCACACACACACACACAAAAATCAACAAACACACACACACAAAATCAACAACAAATGTTGGTGGAACACCTTGCTCACCTAGCATACATAAAACCCTGAGTTTGATCCCAAGTACTACATAAAACCAAATGTAGTGGTGCATGTCTGAAATGCTAACACTTGAAAGACGAAGGTAAAATGATCAGGGGTTGAAGGTCATCCTAGACTATATACCCAGCCTAGGCTTTGTCAGAGTTTGCCTCCAAAAAACAAAACAAACAAAAACACACATACAGAAAACCCTACAAAACAAACAAAAAGTCTTCAACAGTGGCAAAAAGCAGAATGTAATAATCATAAAGCCAATTTCAATTTTGGAAAATGTGAGCAGTTTATATTACAAAGAAGTTCTGATAGCCTGGGCTAGCAAGAGGGCTCAGTGGGTAAAGGCACTTTCTTCCAAGCCCCGTGGGCTGAGTTAAATCACAGGGACCCTCATGGTAGAAGGAGAGAACTGACTCGTTCAAGTTGTCCTCTGATCTCCACACACATATACACACAGATTAAATAAATAACTGCAATTTAAAAATAATAATAAAAAAGAAATCCCCACAATCAGAATGACTTATCCTCTTACTTGATTTAGCATGACATCATAGACATCATCTCCTTCACAATACACATGAGCCTGGGAAAAGAGAAAACAAACCGCATTAATGTACTCAGTCCTGAGAGCAAAATGAGACCCTATTTGTTCCTTTAATGCTTTAAGGTTTATTCTCCAGCACATCCAACATCTGTCTTCCAGGGAGAGAAATGGAAATGTATGGTCTACACACAGCCTATCACTATTAAAATTAAAACATATGAATTCTTCCAATTACAGAGGCCTAAATAACTCAAAAGAAACCTGTTTTTTTTTTTTTTTTTTTTTTTTTTTTTTTTTTTTTTTTTTTTTTTTTTTTTTTTTTTGGTTTTTCGAGACAGGGAGACAGGGTTTCTCTGTGTAGCTTTGGGGCCTGTCCTGGAACTGACTCTGTAGCCCAGGCTGGCCTCGAACTCACAGAGATCCACCTGCCTCTGCCTCCCGAGTGCTGGGATTAAAGGCGTGCGCCACTGCCATATGGCAAGAAACCTGCTTATAAGTAGGCTCTCTTCTAGATCCTTCCCATCCTTTTCCCCTTCATCAGTAACTTATGCCATTCCATGACAGTTTCTCATCAAACCACACCGTCCTCCCTTAACAATTGTAACATTTCCTGGGTGAGAAAGGGAATAAATAAGCTGTGGAAAGCTGATGGCAACCCCTAGGGTAATTATGTTAATATTCTGGGAATCAAACCCACATGAAGGTCCTCTTGAAGAGCAACACATGTTCTTAACAACTGGGTCATCTCTCCAGGCCCAATTCTGCTCATTTGAAAGCCCAGCACCCCCACGTCTCAACTCTGGAGAAAATGAATCACTAGCAGTATTTCAGAAAGCACTTTTAAAACGAACACAAGCAACAGTCTAGACAGGAATCACAATGTCAGAAGAACTCCGCTTTCTGTCCAGGTGCTTTACCTTTCCCACCTTGGCTGTACACTCTGGGTCCACAGGAGCTTTGCCCTTTAACAGCAAGGCCTTCACCGAGTCTGAGGGTACATAAATATGCACTGTCATTACTTATGTGAGAATCAAAGGAGCTGTCGTGATTAGAAAGCTGTCATGTTTAACTTGGCCCTTCTTGAGCAATCAGGGTCTTCTGCCTAATCCAACTCAAATGTATGAAAAGAAAGAGTTGACAAAGTAGACTGGTACTTCAAAATACCCAAATGATAGAGAGATTAATTATATTTTCAAAGAGGGAAGGAAGAAATATCATCCCACTCCTTTGAGAGACCCAAGAGCTGGCCCATGCCTCCCTGGCCCGTGACCTTGTGACCTTGCTTGCCGTTTGTCCTGTCTGCATCCTTTCCTCCAGCCACGGGCCCCTTCCTCTGGCATGTGCGCATCTTCTTGCCAGCAGGAGAGTCATCTGCTGCTTTGTTGCCATTATTAACTCTCTTGGCTTCATTTAGCCCTTCAGAAGCTAAAAGCGAGAACAATAAACAAAGAATTACTACACAACAAAGATCATCTAATATCTAAGACTGAAGCAAAATAAAAATACAGGAAAAATTAGGGGGACGTGGAAAGGACAGGGAGCCCCTCATCCCAGAGTCTGGCTGAAGCCCCTCTGCAGCTGAGAAGCAAGAATTCCAGCACAATTAGCACGTGCTGTGAAGGTTGCTAACACAAATATCTGAATATTTTTATGTTAAAATGACAATGAATCAGGCGTACAGCATAAATGTATATGGTAATGGGACTGGACTCATTTCTCTCCTGTTCTATGGGAATCTTAAACATACTATGAACACTGTTTACACGAAGATAACCTGTATTCTGTATCCATCTCAGGAAATGTGATCTCATTTAAATTCTTTAACAACTCTTGGAAGAGTCAAAAATCACAAATTTTGCACATATGTCTATTATAAGGAAGGGTGATTCTTAGAGAAGCCCACACTCGTGTTCTGTAGTGTCTTTCTTCTAAGACATTTCTTTTCTTTTAATCCTTGTGCTTAAAATGTATGTTAATAACTCTTTTAATAAACTCCCAACTCTGGTTCATCTTGCATACTCCTGAAATTCCTTTCTACCTTAAAGCCAAGAGTACTAGGTTTGCCTGAGTCTCTGAAAAAAACTAAGGTTGTGGCCAGGAACAGCAGAGTTGTGTCTCTGCCCTTGACAAACCTTAAAAGACAAACAATAAGGGTTATTATTTTATTTTTATGTGTATGGGTATTTTGTCTGCAAATATGTTAGTGTACCACATGAATGTATGGTGCACCTGGAGGTCAGAAGAGGGCATAAAATCTGGTAAAGTGGCTATGGCCAGCCATATGGGTGTCTGGAATAGAACCCAGGTCCTCTGTAAGGGCAAGAAGTGCTTTTAAGCACAAGCCAACTTTCTAGCCTCCTGATCATCTCTTTTCTTTCTTTTTTTTTTTTTTTTTAAACTTTGAGACAGGGTCTCTCTACATAGCCCTTCCTGGCTGTCTTGGAACTCACTTTGTAGACTAGGATGGCCTAGAACTTACAAAGATCCTCCTACCTCTGCCCCTCCCAAGTGCTGGGATTAAAGGAATGGGCCAACACACCTACTGCTCTGACAAATTCTTCTGAATTTAAAGGAGGCTGGAGAGATAGGTCAGTGATGAAGAGGTTCCCCCACTCTTCCAGGGGATTTGGGTTCAAGTCCCAGCTCTCCCATGGTGGGGCACAATTCTAAGTAACCCCAGTTCCAGGGTACCCAACGCCCCCTTCTGGCCTCCAGGTACACACTTGGTGTACATACACACAGACAAAATACACGTACATATTAAATAATTTTTTTTTTTTTTCTGAGACAGGGTTTCTCTGTGTAGCTTTGCGCCTTTCCTGAAATTCACTTGGTAGCCCAGGCTGGCCTTGAACTCACAGAGATCCGCCTGCCTCTGCCTCTCGAGTACTGGGATTAAAGGCGTTAGCCACCACCGCCCGGCACTTAAATACTTTTTTAAAGAAATAATTTAGGATGTTCTTTTGAAAGTTACAAATGCCACACCACTCACTTCTCTTGAAACAAATTGAGCAACCCTTCCTAAATTGCTGTCCTGACCATATATTAACATGACAGGATAAAATAAATTTACAGAGATGTTTAAAGTTCATTACTTGTGGCATGGGTCTTCAACACTTTACGTCAAATTAGATCACGTGATCATGGTCAGTCAAGTGCTCTGCAGTCTGGACCAGCTTACAGCCAGCTTTGCTTACTGGAGCTTCAGAAGCTTGGAGTTCGCTGTACCTCAGCTGTCCAAAATGTACAACTGAGACCACAGCTATAGTATCTAACTTAATAGGGTACAATTACGAACACAGTATACAGTCCACAGCCAACAATTCCAAGATCCGAATTTTACTTTCTGAAATCGGATGTCTCTTAAAAAGGTTGACCTAAGAAGTTAATCACTTTACGCTTATCCTTTCGCAGTGCTAGACTCCATAACGAAGATCTTTTCATTGAATGACATTAGTTATTAACAGTACGTGGCAGTTATGCTTGCTGTTCCGGTTCACACGCCTCTTTGGATTGAACTGGACCATGAAAAAGTGAGCCGTTCCCTCTGACTCTGGCCCCAGCGTTTCTGGCCGCGGACGGGGTTCTCACCTCGCCTCCGGCCGCCGGATCTCCGCCGCGGCGGCGCCATGGCGCTCGAGCCCTGACGTCATCATCCCCAGCCGGGATGCGCGGGCTTCTTCTCTGGGGCGGGAGGCGGGAATAGAAGCGCATGCAAATAAGGGCCGCCGCGCTGTGCCTCGTGGGAAACCACCATCACTGAAAAGTGCGTTCCGCTCCCACGGCCTATTAAGTTCGCCGGCCGCCGCTCTCCGGTGGGCGGGGGAAGCTCATCAGCGGGGCCACGCGCTGAGTGCTCAGTCACTCCCCGGCCCCTGGGAAGGTCTGAGACTGGGGCCTCCCGCGGCCCTAACCGGGCTCTCCCCGAGCGGGGAGGTGAGTTCCCAGAGAGCAGGGCTCCACGCGTGGGCAGACTGGGCAGGAGAGGCCCACGAGTGGGCGGATGCCTCCCTCGCCGGAGCTTGGAACAGACTCACGGCCGGCTAGAGCGAGTTCAATGGCTGAGGTGAGGTACCTCGCGGGCCTCATAACCCAATTCAGACTACTCTCCCCCGCCTTTTTGGGATTTTTACGTCTTCTACTATGTCTTAAATATTGGTAGAGCTAGTTATATTCAGTCATTTTGGAAGAGACTGGTGGTGCTAAGACTGTGCACCATCCTTTGCTCCAAGAAGCTTCTCTGACCAAGTTTGAGAGCTGCACAGATCTGTGGATTAAAACATACATATCAGCCGGGCGGTGGTGGTGCACACGCCTTTAATCCCAGCACTCGGGAGGCAGAGCCAGGCGGATCTCTGTGAGTTCGAGGCCAGCCTGGTCTCCAAAGCGAGTTCCAGGAAAGGCGCAAAGCTACACAGAGAAACCCTGTCTCAAAAACCAAAACCAAAAAAAAAAAAAAAAACCAAAAAACATACATACCTAGAATAGAGTTGGATAACATAACCGTTTCGCAAAACATGATATGTTCTCCCCCTTTTTGCTGGATTATTGGGATATATTTTAGCCATTTGTTTAGCAAAAAAGATGTAGTTCATATCCTCATGTGTGTAGCTTGCAATTGGGAATACCCTGTAATATATACTATAATTATAATATCAATATATATTATATATTATATTACCAAAGCAGAAGTGAACGGGTAGCTGGAACAAGCACTCAGGAAAAGCTTGTAGTACCATAGGAAACCATAATAGAAGAGCAGGCTAGGGAATTCCTCACCAGAGCAAACGAGCAGAGTGGAGCTAGGAACACGTGGAGGAACACTGAGTCAGGAGACGCATTTGAGATGGGAGTGGAATAGGTCTCATAGCAAGCCAGGCTTTCCTTATCAAGGTCGGAAGCTGTGACCAATACTCAAAAACGAAAATTTTGACCATCGTCTCCCATCTCCTCCCAGATTCTTCCCACCTCCCACCCATCCAACTCCATGCCTTCTTGCTCTTGACTTAGAAAACAGGCAATTAAAAGATAAATAAAAAGCACAAGTGACATGTACACCTGCTACCAACACACGCAAAACCCAAAATTAAAAAAAAAAGCTGGGTGTGGTGGTGAATGCCTTTAATCCTGGACGCTGGAGATAGAGCATGCTTATCTCTGAGTTCAAGGCTAGCCTGGTCTACAGCGTGAATTCCAGGACACCCAGGGAAACAGAGAAACCCTCTTGGAAAACAAAACAAAACAAAAGAATAAAAACATAAATAAAGGGGGAGGGAAGGTTGGCTAGAGAGACGGCTCAGCGGTTAAGAGCACTGGCTGCTCTTCCAGAGGACTCTGGTTTAATTCCCAGCATCCACATGGTGGCTCACAACTGTCTTGTAATTCCAGTTCCAAGGGACCTGATACCCTCACACAGACACAGATGCAAAACACCTATGTACATAAAATACAGGCAAATAAGTTTAAAAAATAAATAAAAAGCACAAAACATATACATGCAGAGACACACACACAAACAAATCCCATAAAAACACAAAGTAGGACAAGCAGGGCAGTGATGGTGCAGGCCTTTAATCCCAGCTCTTCTGTCTCAAGGGGGGGGGGGGGGAGTAACAAAACCACAAAGTTAGAAACCATAATATACAAGCAAAAGACCAGTAAAGTGAAAAAGGGCCAAACAGTATGAGACAAAAAAATCTTCAAAATGACCATGGATTTGTTTTGTGTTGGACCTCTACTGCTGGGTATAGGGCCTGCCCTTGCATGTGGTTAATTATAAACCCAGTAAGACTCCGTTAGAGAAAACTAATTTTGTTCTGTACGCAGCGGGTGTCAGTTGCGGATAGCCTCTTGGTTAGAGGTGGGGCTTGTGTCCGGAGGTGGGGGCTTGTGTCCGGGGGTGGGGGCTTGTGTCCGGAGGTGGGGGCTTGTGTCCGGGGGTGGGGGCTTGTGTCCGGAGGTGGGGGCTTGTGTCCGGGGGTGGGGGCTTGTGTCCGGGGGTGGGGGCTTGTGTCCGGAGGTGGGGGCTTGTGTCCGGAGGTGGCATCCCACCTGGCTTGGACATGTGCAGGCCCTGCGCATCCTGCCGTGTGCATCAGGTTTATGTCGTTGGTGTCTTCCATCGCCTCTGGCTTTTACGGTTTTTCTGTTTCCTGTTCCACGTAGCTCCCTGAACGCTGCTGAGGGGAGGAGTTTGATGAAGACATCCCATTTAGGACCGAGTGTTCCAAAGTCTCTCTGTACCTTGTCCAGTTGTGGGTTTCTATATTAGTTCCCATCGACTGCAGGAAGAAGCATCTCTTCCTCAGGGAGATACTGACCTATGGGAATACTAGGATGTCATTAGGAGTCATTTTATTCCTTTTGGAAAACAATAGTATTCGGTTTTCTCCTAGGTCCTAGGTCTAGTCTCAGGTTCTTGACCACCTGAGCAGTATTAGGCGTGGTTTCCACCCCATGCAGTGGCCCTTAAATCCACCCCGAGAATGGTGGGTTACTCCAACATCTTTTGTACCACTATCACACCAACATCACTATTGGAGATCGAAGGGTTTGCAGCTGGCCTGGTTACCTCTCTCCTCTGGCAGTGAGAGACTAGGAGCTAGACTCTCTATGAGGCAGAAAGAGAGGGAGAGGGGCCATGGCTAGGTATTAAATGTGGCAAAACTTCAAGAATGGCTAGCTTCTTCTTCACCCTCCTGGCTTGAGACCTTCAAACAAGTGCTCTGTGGGCTTTTTTTTCCCACCAGTAGGTCCCATGATGATAGTGAGTTCAAGGCCTGGTCCAGACAGGCCACACAGCAATTATGGGCCAACCAACCATCCTAGCTTTCTTCAAACTGACCAACCCTAAATTAGGGGAAGAAAACTCTTTAAAAGATTTAAAACTCCCTTTCCTAGAGCAGAGATTGTATTTTTGGCTTTCCAAGTCGTGTGTCGTCCCGTCCCCCCCCCCCCCCCCCCCCCCCCCCCCCCGGCTTTGCAGAGGGTCTTCTCCTCTGTGTGTCTGCTGCATATGTGTGTGTTTCCTCACCTCCAATAAACACCTTTCTTCAACTATGGGTTCTGTCTGTGGTGTTTGAGATTTCTCTGCTGCTACCTGTTATACTTTTTTTTTTTGTTGTTGTTGTTATAGGTTTTCTTGCCTTTTGATTCTTTGACTGGCATCGAAAAAACGAACCTGACCGAGACCTTAAGACTATCATTTCAAGACCCCCAGACTGTATCAGTAGTGTGCAGAGTACCTTCCAGTACCATGAAAAGTAGTCAGTAGGGATGAAGGCTCTAGTTAGGCACTGGCTTGACTCTTCCGTATTCAATGAGGTGTGTAAGTGTCATTTTTAGCAATAGGGTCTTACCATCAGTTTGCAGAGAGCAACCAGTATCTTGGCAATAGACTTAGTTGTGTGGGGGTTTCCATGGAGCCCCTTTGGCCAACAACTCCGTTCCATGTAACCCATTCCTGGCCCTGGAGGCTTCTCTTGGTGGGGAGAGGTGTTTAGTTGGGGCTTTATCACCCCTATTATTCGGCAACTGCGTTTAGATTTCTTTCATACATGCATGTATTTTAAGAAGCGTTCACAGTAGTAGGTTTCCACAAGACCCTTAGTTTCTTGTCCCTCCCTGTATTCCCTCCTTTTTCTCTCTTCCATCCCCCTCCCATGAAATCCTCTTGTGCCAGGCTCCTCCTGTTTCTCCAGCTGTACATTCTGTTTCTCTTTCCTTGGGGATCCTCCCCTCCCCCAGCCCCTTACTCCATACCTAACCTCTGTGGTTATATGGATTGTAGCATGCCTATTGAAAGCTCAAAAGCTGACATCCATGCTGGGTGGTGGTGCATGCCTTTAACCCCAGGACTCTGGAGGCAGCGGCAGGTGGATTCTCTGAGTTTGAGGCCAGCCTGGGCTACAAAAGCTAATATCCACATATAAGAAAAGATATATTACAAATTTGTGTTTTTAGGTCTGGGTTACTTCACTCTGGATGATTTTTTCCCCAAGTTCCATCCATTTACCTGTGAATTTCATAATTATTTCTCCTCCTCCTTCTCCTTTTCAGGGTTTCTCTGTGTAGCCCTGGTTTTTCCTGGAACTCACTCTGTAGACCAGGCCTCAAACTCAGGGATCCACCTGCCTCTTCTTCCCAAGTGCTGGGATGAAAGGTATGTGCCACCATACCTGGCTCGTAATTTTTTTTAACAGATGAATAATATTCCATTGTAAAGTAACACTCCCCCTCGCATCCATTCATCTTTTGATGGACATCTAGGCTGCTTCTAATTCCTGGCTGTTAAAAACAGAGCTGCAGGGGCTGAAGAGATGGCTCAAAGGTTAAGAGCACTGGCTGCTTTTCCAGAGGTCCTGAGTTCAATTCCCAGCATCACATGGTGGCTTACAGCCACCTATAATGAGATCTGGCGCCCTCTTCTGGTGTGCAGGCATACATGCAGGCAGAACACTGTATATGTAACAAAAAAATTAAAAAAAAAAAAAAAAAGAACAGAGCTGCAATGAACATGGATGAACAAGTGTCTCTATAGCAGGATGAAGCATCCTTTGGGTATATGCTCAAGAGTAGTATAGCTAGATCTTGAGGTAGATCTATTCCCAGCTTCCTGAGGAAACACCACACTGATTTCCAGAGTGGCTGTGCAAGCTGGCAATCCCACCAACAACAGATGAATATTTTCCTTTCCCCACATCCTTGCTAGTATGAGCTATCATTTGTCTTATTAAACTTGGCTGATTCTGACTGGGGTAAGATGAAATCTTAAAGAAGTTTTGATTTGCATTTTCCTGATGACTAATGATGTTGAACATTTTATTTTTAGGTGATTCTTAGCCATTTGTGTTTCATCTTTTGAGAATTCTTTATTTAGATCTGTACTCCATTTTTGATTGGGTTTTTTGTTTTCTCAATGTCTAGTTTTTTGTTTTTAGTGTATTTTAGGTATTAATCCTCGATTGGATGTGTAATTAGTAAAGTTCTTTGCCCATTCTGTAGCTTGGTGCTTTATCGGAATGATGGTGTCCGGTTGCTATACAAGACAGCATGTAAACAATGCTT